GTGAGGGAGCCCAGTTCCCCACGCCCTGTCAACACCGCACGGTGCCAGGACTTTTCCTTTTGCCAGTTAAGCCCCGGTGCTGTGTGATTTTCATGCTCCCATCACCATTTTGCCAGGGCCACTGGCCACTCATATTGACTCAGCTGTGGGTTGTCTTTTTCGCTCCTTGCCCAACCTTTTCTCAGGTTAATGAGCCTTGACTTATTTATGTGTACATGGATTTTGCCTCTTTTATATAAAAAAAGGGTAAATGGAGGTGATTTTTAAGAACTCAAAAGAAAAAGGAGGAAAGGGAAAGGAAAGCTGCCTTCCACCCTTGCTCCCTGAATAATGTCTGCTCTGGGCACACGAGGTGCAGGACTCTAGGGGTCCTGGAATTGTGTGAATTGCATTTTTTGGTCATTGTTGTTGTTGTTTGGTTTTAATGGCCCATTCTGACTCTGTACTCAGGGATCAATCCTGAGAGGTTCAGGGGCCCATACGTGGTACCAGGGAGAGAACCCAAGTTGACTGTGTGCAAGTCAGGTTTACTACCTCTCTGGCCCTGTGAGTTTTATCATTTTAATTCAGGTTTTGGGGCTATACCCAGCAGTGCTCAGGGCTTTCTGTCCTGACTCTATACTCAGGGATCACTCCTTACAGTACTAGAGTAATCAAATGCAGTGCCAGGATTTGAATCTGGGCCGGCCATGTTCAAGGCACATAATGCTTTAACCCCTGTACCAATTTCTCAGGCCTTTAAAAACATTTGTGGGGCTGGAGCAATAGCACAGTGGGTAGGGCGTTTGCCTTGCATGCGGCCAACCTGGGTTCGATTCCCAGCATCCCACATGGTCCCCGAGCACCGCCAGGAGTAATTCCTGAGTACAGAGCCAGGAGTAATCCCTGAGCATCACTGGGTGTGACTCAAAAAGCAAAAAAAAAAGTTTTTAAAAAATCAACTTCAATTAGTTTGAAAAAGATGGTTCAGGCAGAGACCCATTAGTCACCCGGTGAGCACAGATGCAGTGGGAAGTTGGCAGGCGGGGGAGGGGGGGCGGCGGTCTTTCCCACAGCAAGACATTCTTAGATGCCAGGCACTGTCTGCCTGGAGATGGGGCAGGCTCCAGGCAGAAACACCACATCTCCCAGACTCCCATTCCATCAGATGCAGTTGCCTGTGCTTCTGACCGACCTGTACAAATCAGTACTTCTCCATCTGCCTTTTAAGATGTCAAGTGCCCACCACAAGCTTAGATTATCATCAGTGTTTCTGACGAATCAACTGTCAGAGGTTCTCCCAATGGTCTTTCCAACATGGAAGTTCCTAAAGTTCTTTTGAAGGCTTTTTGAAAATTGATTGAGGTACTGTGATTTACAATAGTGATAATGAGGATTGCCTATGAACAAATCCCATCACTACATCCCTCACCAGTGTACCCCCTTTCCTCCCCTAATGACCCCAATGCTTCCCTGATGGGTGTGACCCCTTATGGAATGACATGACTGAATGTTGGGGTTGTGAAACATAAATAAAATGTGTTTTGTAACAATTCTTTTGTTTGTTTTGTTTTTGTGCCAGGTCTGGTTGTGTTCTAGTTCTGCGCTCAGGCATCACTCCTGGTAGAGATCAGGAAACTACTTGAGATGCCAAGGACTAAACCTGAGTGACTGTGTGCAAGGCAGGTGTCCTGCTCACTGCACTGTCTCTCCGGCTCCTAGAAAATCATCCCAAGGCTCTAAAGACAGGCATGGGCAGACAGTAAATACTAACGATGTCATTTAAATGAGATAAAGAACCAGAAAAACTAGCAGCTGGTGGTAAAACAATTTGGCTCTAAAAATACACTAACTGTGTCAGCAGAGAATGGGCAACTTAAGGATAAGACCTTGCCCCTGGCCACTCTCTTCACCAGCTTTTGAGTTCAGAAGTCTCTATCTCCTTCGGAATCTCCCAGGTCACATGACAATAGAAGGTGCTTGCACAATCCTTCCCTTTTCTATCACTCTACTCTGAAACTCAAAGTCTGCAGTGGAAGTTCCCCTGCATCAGGGGCCTCCATCCACCCCTGGGCTAAGTTTGAATTACCCAGTAGTGAGGAATGCAAAGGCTTACAGGGTCACCCTCAGAGCTGGGGAGCAGCTCCCTGCCCCGCCAGCACCCCCACCACCACCTCCAGCTGAGGACCTGCAGCTTAGTGAGGTTTGCTTCAGCAGGCCATTTGCTGGACAGTTCCCAGGGAACTGGTTTCTTAGCTTCAGAAATGGGGAGTGAGGCCCCCATCTGGGGAACTGGCCTCTTTCGAAGGAACTTCCTTCCTCCCGCTAGACTCTATGTCTAGAATCCCAGCATCACCAGAAGCTCCAGGCTGCGGAATCCAAAAATGAGTGCGGAGTTCAACCTTCCCAGACTGGAATGCATCTGTTTTGGGGGGTCACTAGAGTCAGCTCTGAGCCTCGGGACATCCAAGGATAGTGGACAATATCCTGGTCAGCAGGTGGGAAATAATCACACACCAGGAATGAGGAGAGCAGTGCGGTGTGGCTCCCGGTTTCATCACATCCCTGCACAGTCTCCAGCCAGCCCTCACCATCCTTTAAGCAACACACTCCACTCTTGCACAGGGGTGAATCAATGGACATCCTAGCACATGCCCCCTCTCTCTCATTCCTTCTCCTCTGGAGATGTAATAACAAGCAGTTGCAAGAGCCACGCACCTGGATTTGAATCCCACTAGCTGACCTTGGAATAGCTAATATGCCTGTATAAGCCTCAGTTTCTACATTTGTAAATGGAAGTACAGCAGTGTGTTATTACATAGGTGGATAGATATAGATATTTGTATTTGCAATGTTTGGGATCAAACTCATGACACGACACAGGCAAGGCTAGTGCTCTACCACAGAGCTCCATTCCTGCCCACGCCCCAAGCTGTGTCTCTTTTAAGGTTGCTGTGACAACCAAAGGAGATCTTGCACATACATGCATTTGGGTAATACCCAGCTCAATATATTCTGTCTCTTATTATTTTTGTTATTTATTTTACTCATTAGTCCATCTCTTTGTCCCACCTCAGTGTTGAAGCAAACAGAACGGCTTAAATTATGCTTCTGGTAACCTATATTCGTAGAATGATCTATTTCTTAGGTTACACATTAATTCAAAGCTTCATTAAGTAGCTCAATGCCTTGGGCAGTCGATTACTTATAAATAGTATAATATTTAGTGGCTCCTTCATTTTGCAGTCAGACATCGTTAATGGTCCATGACTAGAATCAGGATGGCATTTAAACACATCCACACACGCACCAGCCTGCCACCACTCACATACAACACCACACACACACGACAAAGAAAGATACACCCACTGAGGCTGCTGCGAGCTGGTCTCATCTCACAGTTAGTTTTTAATTAATCGACATTTCAATTGAGTCACTATGATATACGCAGTCACAAGGCTGTTCATGGTTGGGCTTCAGTCAGATAATGCTCCAATAACCCTCCCTTCACCAGTGCGCATTTACCAACACTGATGCCCCCTTTCCCCACCCCTCCATCTTATAGTTATGACTTTTGCAAAAAGAAGACAGCAAGGAAAGACGCCAGTGTTTCGGATTTTTTGCTGCTTATACCTGATTACTGCCAAAGTCTAGTCTTCTGGACTCCCTTTGCAAGCACTTTGAACCCACATGGACAATTGACTGACTCACTCACCTGGTAAAGAAATAAATAAATTTCCCACATCTAGTTTGATCACTTGGGAATTGAGGTAGAAAGAAGATTGCAGGCATGCAGTCATTTAGAAGAGCCAACAAGGAAGAATTTCACCTATGTGTCTGTGTGTGGCTTGCAGTGGACAGGCAACCTGGGGCAGGGGTTGGGGGATAATTAGCAGTCAGAGTCAAAGAGGTTATTAGCCTTGAACAAATCCAGAGCTTTCCAATAGTATTGGGTGATGGGGGCGATGACCTGAGTGGTGGACACATCTCAACATGTGAGAGGCTCTGACTTGAATTTCTGGCGCCTAATGCCCCCAGATACTCTGGGTGTGGTCCCTTTTTTCAAAAATTGAGATGCCAGATTGTACCCTGACCAACCATACCTTTCTTCCTACTGAAGGCAGAGGACTCTGTTGTCCAAAGGTTTCCTGAGGTCCTCAGAGGGCGGGTGCTTCTGGCCCTGTGCAGACCTTGCCCTGCATCCCCAAGCTCTACTCTGTACACCCTTCTCATTCAGCCCTGCCCCTCAACCATCTACTTTGGGGGCAGTGGGCTCCCACCAGAGGTCTCACAGGGCTGCTCCACTGATAAACCAACCCCTTGCCTCAAGGGTGGGGGGTGAGTTGCATGTTGGAGAGGCCTCTTACTTTAGATTCTGTGGCATGGCCCAAGGAATGCCCAGAGGTCCTGGTTGTCTGAGGTCTGAATTTCTGAAGCTGGAACAACTGAATTGGGGTGGTGCCTCCCTGATGTGCGATCCCTATTGCATTGGATGTAGTCCATGAATAATTTTTTTTGGTGGACCCCACCCAATGGTACTCAGGGTTTACTCCTGATTCTGTGTTCAGGGATCACACCTGGAGGTGCTCAGGGAACCAGATGTGGTGCTGGAGGTTAAACCCAGGTTTGCCACATGCAAAGCAAGTGCCTTACCCATTGTCCTATCTCTCTGCCCCCAGTCCGCAGGTAATTCTTTTTTTTTTCTTGTTTTTGTTTTTTGGGTCACATCCGGAGATATATAGGGGTTACTCCTGGCTCTGCACTCAGGAATTATTCCTGGAAGTGCTCAGGGGACCATATGGGATGCTAGAAATTGAACTTGGGTCAGCCTCGTGCAAGGCAAACGCCCTAAGCACTGTGTTATCATTCCAGCCCCAGTAATTCTGATCAGACTTTTCTCTATTTTTCAGTGAATTCTCAAATCACTGAATTTTAAAGCAGGCAGAAACCTTTAAGATAAAACTTTAAGGCCAAACTTGATGCCCTGGAAAGCCAAAATGTAGAAAGAAAGTGAGAGCCGTTTGCAAGCCTCCAGCGTGCTTGGGTCTGGGGTGACTCTGTGCCTTCCTATAGGGCTTGCAAGAACATTCTGAAATGGTTTGAAGCCTTGCTCTGAGCCACTGAGGGAAAGGTTAGAGAAATTAGAGACAACAGAAGAAAGAAGAGAAAAGAAAAAGAAAATGAAGGCCCAGGCAGACACAGTGTGGGGCAGGGCTGAGACTGGCCTCTCCTCTCAGCTCCTCACCCCTGCCAGTCCCTGGAGCCTCTTCCTTCCCCAGAGCACTCCTGTCGGTCACTGTCAGGACACATCCCAGCTGCGTGGCCAGAAGCACTGAGCTCAGAAATGCCGGGACAGACCAAAATCCCAGTAAGCAGAATGTTGGCGTTGCATTAGCATATCCTTGAAAAGCATCTGTCCTGCATTTTGCTGGGTCAGTTATGATTGCTGTCACTATGGGGGTCTATGCCAGTGCTCTCGCCCAGAAAAGCAGGGGGCGGAGTAAGAATGCTGCAGGGGCTCGGCTGCACCCAGAGGCTGTGATCCAGTATATTGCTTTACGACTCGCAGAAGTGGAGGATGCTGGGAAGGGGAGGGATGAGCACGAGAGAAGGAGCATGTCTGAGCTATGATGTGTCAGAAAATCCATGCTTCCAATCAGCTCCGAGACTAAGCACAGAGCTTATTGCCTTTCATATACATATATATATACATATATATTATGGTGCAAGGATTACTAGGTAAACTCTAGTGCCACCATATAAGCTCTTCTACTGGCATCAATTCACACATATGTGCTACATCCCAGCTTGAAGCATGGAGTTTTGTTTTTTTCAAGCATGGGGTGGGGGGAAAGGCATACCGGGAAGTACTAGGGGACCATACTGTACCTGGGAATCAAACCCAGGGCTCCCACATGCTCCAGCCTGAGTCACCTCCCTGGCTTAAGCATAAACATTTAAGGTCTTCACCTCCCTAGCTCTGCTGGGACCAGAGAAACATCTCTTGCACTCTCCAGACCTCTCCATGGGACCTGCCTCCTTTGCATATGACTGGGGAGGTAACCTGGATAAGTTTCTGTTTTTCTTTTCATTTATTTATTTATTTGCTTTTTGGGTCACACCCAGTGATGCACAGGGGTTACTCCTGGCTTTACACTGAGGAATTACTTCTGGCAGTGCTCAGGGGACCAATGGGATGCTGGGACTCGAACCCGGGTCAGCAACGTGCAAAGCAAATGCCCTACCCATTGTACTATCACTCTGGACCCGGGACACGTTTCTAAGGTCTCAAACACCCAAGGTGAGTGGCAGCTCAGGGCTCTGCAGACACACACACACACACACACACACACACACACACACACACACACAAACACCATACCTCTAAACTCACACCCCACACAAATGTGCCCACTTGACACCTAATGAGCATTGGCAGCAGCTCATCACAGCCTGTGTCCGGGCCCTTGTCCTCACTGGCTGTGGCTTGACTCTTTGGTAAGGACACTGTGTTTACTGAGCACCTGCTATGTGCATTAGCAGACAGGAGCCTTCAAGCTCACCAATCTGGTGACTGTCTCCCAAGGTGCAGATTTATGCATCCTCTGACCAATGAGAGGTCCAAGACTTGGAGAAGGGGGTCGCGGGGTGAGGCCAGCAGAGCGGGAAGGACAGTCTGGCTAGGAGAACGTCAACCACAGCTGTCCATCAGGGAGTCTCACAGTGCAAGAACAGGAGCCATGACTGGACAGTCTCAGAAGGGTCGCTGTCCACCCATAATTTGTAATTGCTGTGTGTAACCAGTGCCCCTCTATTATGAGCAGTTCTGCTTGGCTGTGGGTCTATTTTTCTTCCTTGCTAGGAGATTATGTTCTTTGAGTTACTTGTTACCTATTCTAGTGCAGACGCAGCTCATCACTCCCCAGGGATACTCACGATTCTCCGTGTATGTTAAACTCCGCTGTGTTCAACTCCTCCTTTGTGCTTCCCGCGGCATTGTTTCCCATCCTATCCCTGTCCTCCACTTGTTAGCAGTTCCTCTCTCCCTACATTAGTGCAGTTTAATTTTAAATAAAGTTTGTTGTCTGCGAGAGAGAGAGAGAGAGAGAGAGAGAGAGAGAGAGAGAGAACTAGGGTCACGGAATGGGTCTGGGAACAAACAAAGGAGGGACGAGAGAAAGGGAGAATGTGCAGGTGTGGACATGGGGCAGTGTGTGCTCCAGACCTAGGATGGTGGTGAGAGAAGCAGCCGCTGGCAGGGAAACGGAAAATTTCCATGGCTTGGGAGGTGTCCTGGGCTTGGACCAGACTGGAGCAACGTGGGGCATAGAGTCAACCTTTCTGAGCTGTGTTTACTCATCTGTGAAATACAACTGTGGATGCTGTGGAAAGCAACACCCATATAGGGGAAGGTGACAGCACACCGTTAGATCTCTATAAATCCTTGTTCGAAATTTCTGGTCACAGGGAAGAGGCCCAGCCATCCTACTTCTCACTGCTGGGAAAGGTTAGGTCGAGCCCGGCCAGGATGCCCAGCAGCAGAGGCCCCAGACCAACCTTCCAGGAGCTTCTATGCCCCACAAATGGTTCATTTGCATGCCAGTCAGAAATTGCTTGGCTTCGGAGCGGAATGTTCTGGCCCTAGCGATTAGATATTTATTTAGTTAGCGAGGTTTCACCCTGAAAGCGTTCAGAGGCTATTCCTGGCTCTGTGCTCAGGGTTGACCCCTGGAGGTGCAGTGCCAAAGATCCAACTGGGTCCCCAGCATGTAAGCGCCTTAACTTCTGTAAACAGGAGCCGCTGCAGAGAGCAGAACCCTAGCCAGCTGACTCGCGTTGGACTCTGTGATTGGAGAGAGAGGCACCCCTAACAGCAGGCCACACACCCAGCTCCTGGAATGCATATTTCTGCAATCCAGACAGCTGCTAGGAATTGCACAGAGTAAATGTGAAGACAGGTGAAGGGAGATTGAGGGGTGACTCCAAGGAGAGGGAAGGACCCCTGGTCTAGGAGAGCAGCAGGTGCGTCTAAACCTTTATTTTTAAAAATTATTTTACTTTTTTACTGGAAAAAAAATTACAGACAACCGCTGGACTAGAGCCATTACTGACTGGATTCCACGGGACATCAAAAGATCGCGTGGACGCCCACCTACAAGATGGTCAGACTTCTTCATCAAGAGCCTGAATGATCGGTTTGAGGCTCTGCATGTTCCTAGAACGAACAGATGCCATTGGGCTACGCTAGCACGCAACAGGGATGAATGGAGACGTTACTGGCGCCCGCTCGAGTAAATCGATGAATAACGTGGGATCAAGTGATCAAGTGATTTTTACTTTTTTAAAGTTGTTCACAATCATTTATTACATCCAATATTCCAGCACCCACCCTGACACCATTACACCATCCCATCGTCATTATTTTGAATTTTCCCACCCCCCACCCAAATCTGCCCCCAAAGCAAGTTCTAATTAGAGAAAGTCATTTTGTATTGCTTATTATGAATAATCCGCTAAAAATTATCCAAAGAAGTTTCCTTAGAGAAAAGTGTGTGAAGATTGTTATATCTTACAAATCTTCATAGGTCGCTTCTGCTTTACACCCCACCAGATGTGGTGTGTTACATTTGGCACTTCAGTGGGATAGAGTATGAGATGTTGCTGCAGGAATTCTAAAATTTCTTTGAGTTTTCTTGGAGTTTATTGAGTTTCTTTTTTCTTTTTTGTCTGTTGATTGTCGATATTTTATTTATTTTCTTTTTTAAAAAGTTTTAAAATTTTTTAATGAATCACCATGATGTGCAGTTACAGACTTACAAACTTTCATGATTACATTTCGATCATAAAATGATCGCGTACCCATCCCTTCACCAATGCACATTTTCCACCACCAATGTTCCCAGTATTCCTTCCACCACCCTCACCCGCACTCCATCCCCCCTACCTGCCTCCTCTCTCTCTCTCTCTCTCTCTCTCTCTCTCTCTCTCTCTCTCTCTCTCTCTCTCTCTCTCTCTCTCTCTCCTTTTGGGTGTTATGGTTTGCAATGCAGGTAGTAAATGGCCAACATGTTTGGGCTGTCATCTACTTTCAGCGCGCGTCTCCCATCCCGAGCGAGCCCTCCAAGCATCATTCACTTAGTGGGAATTCTAAAATTTTAAATGGGTTGAAGCCCAGGGAGCGCACCCTGTGGCAGGCTCCTTCCATCCATGGCCAGCAGAGGGCGCGCGGAGCCGCGTCCGCCGTTCCCAGGTGCGCGCGCTCACGTTCCTTGGCTCAGATGCGGGAGTTTCTGGGCGCCTGGGTGCGGCGGGCTCAGACCTGCCGCCCTGCACACACCTCCTCCGGAAACCAGGGCTAAATGTTCTTCCTAAGCCCATTCCGCCCAGGAATGATTCAGGAAGCACCGGGACGGGCCTGACCCCGTGGGATTCTATCATGAGGACAAAGGGCTCCGGGTACTGCGACACTTGGCTGGACGTCCGCTGGGAAAGTGGCCCCTGCCAGGTCACGGGCAAAGCAGGCTCTTCCCCAGGACGCTGCTCCGATCAGGAGACACCTGCTTCGGGCGTGGTTGGCACGTCGGTCACCTGCCCTGTCTAGTGGCACCTTCCCCACCTTGAACTTGCCCAGGGGTCCCTCTGCTCGTGTCCCCCCAACCCCTCCCCCCCAGCCCACCCTGTAAGAAAAGGGTAAAATCAGGCTGGGGACATGGCTCAGGTGGTAGAGCATATGCCCAGCATCTGCAAAGCCCTGGGTTCAATCCCTGCCTCTGCATGGCCCCCAAACACGGCCAGGTATAGCCCTGTCGTCCCCACCACCAGGGACCCCTGGTATCCCTGGATCCATCAGGACCCCAGGCCAGGATGGGTGTCATACCCCTGCCCCCAACACACCAGGACCATTGGGTGTTAATTGCTATGAAACGGGGAAATTAAAGGGAAAGGTACCTTCCCTGGTTATGCCCCACCTGCTCTGCTCCCCACCATGGGAAGAGCCTTAGTGATGGCACTGATGCCTCCCCTCCCCACTCATCCTCTTTCCTGGGCTCTCTCTTAGGTTTCTTCCTCCTGGGGGCCCAGAGAGCTTGGGTACCCCCAGCTATACTTCTTAACCCTTGAGGTAGTGGAAGGAAGCCGGCTTCCCTGGCAGTGA